TGGTGGGCCCTCCGGGCCAGATCGAGGAAGGTACGATTCTCGGCTCAGCAGCTGGTCACATACACAGAGGATTGAGAATTTGCACAGAGCTCGACCTGGCGACATCTTCTAGACTTATTACCAATCCAAGTTCTTCTTCTTTTATCTGAAGAGAGAGAAGCCCAATCTTCCTCCCGTCGGGTCAATACTCAGCCACCGGAACAAGAAGAAGCAGCTACTTGGTTAAAGCTATCCATTTTTTTTCTTGGGGGGGGGGCTGTCTCACTGGAATTCTTCTTCATCCAACTCACTCGACGATCTGCATGGCCGACGACGATCTGGATGGCAAACCAACGGGCGGCGGGAAGGCCGGAGGCCTGGCTATATTTGATGAACCAACTTGCCGCTCCGCGGCTGGTCAAAGGAATCGTAACTCCAGCATTGAGTGAATATATTTCAAGCGGGTTTTTTCCACATTAGTAACACATCTCTATGTACACCTTCTGATCTGATCTTCAAGAATGAGAGTCGTCGCGGTCAGTTGACTGTCATGAAGTGGGTGTCCGATAGGTTCTGTCCTTTTTTTTGTTTTTGGGGGGCTCTTGTCGAAGCTTCCTGCAACGATGGAAATCCGTGAACGAGGGCTGCCTTTTGCAGACGATTATAGGGATGTAGGATTTGTATAAGGAACTGGTACGAGTCGTTCGGCCCTATTCCGACTCCAAAAGGATCAATGTTTTGGAGGGCATCTATATACATATGTACATTCTCATGCATGCATCCATCATTCTTCTTTCCGTACACGTACAAATTGTCGGACCTTTATTAAGGCACTCGCTTCCCAGCCTTTTGAAGCACATGCACTCGCACGAGAGGGGGTTGTAAATAGGTGTCGGATAGAGTGTTGTCTCTTGGAAGGGTTACGCGCTGCTTGTACGAGAGAGCAAGCGAAATTGGTTGATGACGACATGTAAATTTCTTGAGATTGAAGCTGTCGTTGTTGTATGTACCATATGGATGGGAGATGTGGTACTCTGTCTTTCGTAACCACATGAACGTCCAAGAAAAACATGTTTTTATGTAGAACCGAGATACAATATTTTTTGTTCTTCTTTTTCCGGGTTTTTGCCATTATCGATGGGCCGGTTGGGTGGTTGTGGGATCGCGAGAAAACTGCCTAATTATGGCCGGTCGACTGAATTTGACATACATACAGTTGTTCCTCGAGAGAATCCGTGCTACAGCCAGCCCAATTTCAAAAAGAAAGAAAGAAAGACCGGAGTTGGCGTCGAGAAGGATTCGGCTGTAAGTATTTACAACTGTGTGTGCCAGTGCCACTGCCGACTTCCAACCACCCATCCAATCCACACTGAAGTTGCCCCATCAGTCAATATTTTGTGGACTGCCTCCAAGTACTCCCGTCGAGCCGATTGGAAGGGAATCAATCGATCGGGGTGAGTGTCATCCTTCTTGGTCTGCGCTATTTTTCTTTTTGGTATGTCATCCTCTGCCAGTGAGAAACAGCCCTCTAGTTAAACCTTCGTCCGTTTCTGTAGCACTCAAAGAGATCCAAGACTTTCTTCTTCTTTCATCCTCAAGCACTCCTCACACTTCATCCAATCTGTTCGCTATATCGACCCTCCCAAGTCGGTCAACAGACAGCCGTGTGGAAAAGCACCGATTACATACTGCGAACCTCCTAAAAGGAAAGGGAAACAAATCAAGAGAAAAGAGCAGACGCACTAATCCGCCGAAGTCTGAAGAGGGAGGCTGATCTCAACTTCAAGCCAAGTGTCAGTCAAGTCAGTCAGTTCAGGTAAGCCAGTTTTTGAGTAGTACTGTCCATCCAATCTCATGTGACTGTCACTGCAACCCAGTCTGTGATCCTCACTCTTCAAGCCATCACCAGCTATTCCGCTGTCCCATCCCATCATCCCTCACACAGCCACACAGTCTGACTGCCTCCCTCCGCCCCTTAAAAAAGTTTAAAGGAACTCAACTGACCAAACCCCTGTGGGCCCCCCTGTTGGACTGTCTTAGAGCATAACAGCGATCTACACGCACATTCATTCTCGCATTGAATAAACAACTTCCCATCCGACTTCCCGTCGCCCTAGGTAAGTCTTCACATTTCCATCCTCCCAACTTCTCCCTCCTTGCTCTTCGGTTGGTTGCGGTGATGTTGGTTTAAGTCGGGGGGAGTGATCAAAACTCAGAGATACATACATTCAGTCTATTTCCCCTGTTGGGCGTAGAATTCATCAACATCAACAACTTCCCTGAGAAACCCTCTCTCTCCTCTGCAATCTCCCTCCATCCTTATCCCCTCAAACCATCATCCAAGCTCATCATCCTCAATCGGCCGGCATCTCTTTGATCAAAGCTTGAGTCCAGCAGTCATCCCGGCTCTCAGAGAGTATCAACCCCTCCGAAGCCCGTCCCAAGCCGGCTGAGGTTTGAAGCGTCATTCTTCCTGTTCATGACATCACCAGCCTGTTGAATCGGCCTGGTTTTGATCGTCCCCACCTTCATCCTTGTCCCACCGTTCTTGAGCCGCCTCCACGCTATCTGCTGCACTAGCCACCCCTCGATCTTGTTCTTTTTTTACTCACTTCAAGACTGGCTTTCTTGTTCGGCAACTCAGCATCACACATACCTCCTCCACATCTGCCCTCTCTCTCTCTTCCGTGCCTTCAAGCCCAAAGTGACCCTCATCTACCACCTGTGTTGGCCGATCGACTCGGCTCTTCATCTTGTTATATATATTAACACCCTCTTGTGTGTGCAGAAAATACCGGGTCATTGATTAATTTATCTATTGGATCCCTACCCAGATCTTCATCAGACTCAGCTTTTGACCCGCCTCCAACCTCATCCATCCACCCACAGCCAGCTTGTTTGCTTGCATCATTATCGTTGATCGATTTTCATCTACAAATTTACCACCCTCTTGCTATAACCAGTCTGACCCATCCCTCAGCCCGTTGAACCTTTAACCCTCTGCCGTCGACCTGTGCTGCTCTCTCTATATCTATATATATATAGTATACTACCCTCACCATCCCAGAGTTAAATACTTTCAGCCGTGAAAAAGCTACCGCCTTGTAAAAACCCGGCTGATCGATTAATCTAACTGCTGAGCTCTCGTCAAATCCCTTGGCATTCCAAGAACATCTACCCTAGCCTCTTCTCACTCTGCCTCCCTGGCCAACAATTCAGAGCAAACACACCCTTTCCTCCCCCCCTCCAAAAAAAAAAACCAACAAGTCAGCAGTGCTGCTCAACAATCACCCACCCACCCAACCAACCAACCCCCCTTGACACAGTCCCACCCAAGAAAAAAAAAATACTTATCCCTACCCCTTGCCCCCTTCCCACCCCCTCCTGATCACAGTTTTACCTTAATCATCAGCAACAAACATCCTTCACCATGTCCGACCCGGATCCCGACCCTCAGCTTCAGCCCGAAAAACAATCAACTCACGACCCAACCTCGATCACCCCCACCGAGAAAGCCTCCGATGCATCCAAGAAGCCCGGCCGATTCGATAAGACTTTCGAATCCGAGGAAAAACCAGTCCATGCGCTGGTTGATATGAGTCTGATCCAGCTCAAGGCGGAGGACCTCTACGATAAGGATAAGGTCGATCTGGAACAGGTCGAGCTAGATGATGTTTGGGCACTCTTGCAGTCCGTAGACACGTCTATCTGTCTCTCAACACTTGATTCTGCAACTCATTTTACACCTTGTCTCTCCAGATGTACCGAAGAGGGCCTCACCGAAGCCGAGGCACAACGTCGGCTCGAAATCTTTGGACCCAACAAGCTTGAAACCAAGGAAATAAATCCATTCTTGCAATTTCTTGGTTTTATGTGGAAGTAAGCCTGTCTTACCACTGTGGCTTGCTCAATTGCTTCACTCACTGACCATTATTTTTTAGTCCGCTTTCCTGGGTCATGGAAGCTGCCGCCATCGTCGCCATCGCCTTATCTAACGGTGAAGGTGAACCCCCGGATTGGCAGGATTTCGTCGGAATCGTCTTGCTGCTGTTGATCGTACGCATCATTACACACCGCCCAAAACTAAAGAATCTAGATAAGAGGCTGACAGGGTGACTTTCCACTCTTTAGAACTCCGCGATCGGATTCTACGAAGAAAGATCTAAAGGGTAATGCCGTGGCCGCCCTGATGGATTCACCCCTCTCTACCGCCCAAAGTTAGACG